GTAGTCAAAAATAGAATTTGTAATTTGAGGTGATACTCGATTGAGCACGGTCGTTATCGGCCGACCTTTTAGACGATCCGATTGAGCACTGTAAAAAAAAAAAATATTGTGTACAACGTTGTCAGATGCAATACATTAAAATGAATAGAGCACAACACACGAAAAAAAAATGTAAATATAACGTGTAATTAAAATCCATTAAAAGATTTTTAATTATAAATAATTACATTCAAATGTATTTTATTTTGTTATAATAATATGGACGCACCGAGCTCAATACACCAACAATATAAAAAATGCGAAAAAAAAGGTGTCTTATCGTTTTTCTATTGGGGAGTTATTTATTTTAGGAAATCTGAGCCGTAAAAATTTTAAATTATGAAATAATCGTTAAAAATCTAAAATTGAATTACAAAATAATTATAAAAAAATCTTGCATGCACAGTAATACGGTGCACCGAATAATATCTACGGTACAAAGCAGCAACGTCGTACCCATTTTCGTGATCAATCGTGTGGTTTTTGGTTCCTATTGTTTGATTGCAACCGTACTCAATCGGGTTCCAGCCATAATTTGCACCAAAATGAGTATCTATTTGTTCGATTATCGAATATTCGATATTATAATGTTCGTTGGCGTCTAGACTATACTCAAGTAGAAGTAGAATTCAAGTTGTTTTGGAGCAGTATAAATATAAATTGATATCAAGAACTGCACTCACTGAATTATTTATTCAATGCATGCAAATACAAAAACCGAGTAAATATCGAAAAGTGAAGTACCTATAACAATTAATATATGCCTAAGTTTACTTTATTTAAATTAAACATTTTTATTTCTAGATTATTCCATCTTAATATAACCGTGAAACATAAAATGTTATGAAAAAATCTGGCAAATCAAACTCAATATACATTTGTTTTTATTAATTTTTATAATTGGCTAACTTTTTGTTATATTTATAATAATAAGTTTTTATATAAACCTAAAAGAATCTGTGTATAAACTCAGCTATTTTAACTTAAGTTAAGTTATATTAGGATTATAGACATTTATTATCGAAATTTGTATTGTATATTAATTATTTACAAGCATTATGTGATTTAAAATTACATTTTGTGCTTAAAATAATGAAATTATTATACTGTGATTATAAATGATTGACTATTCTTATAAGGTAGCTTTGAGGTAAACAAAGGAACGTATAGATCGGTGTAAGTTAAGTAACGGCTAAGAATCTAAAACCTAAAATTCTGCGTTATTAGCTTCTTATAACTCGTTACATAGAAACTTATACGTTGGTAATATTGAAATACTATCGAAAAAATAATAGATTTTAATTTTGGTGGAAATTACAATTCCTATTTCTTACTACCAGAGGGTGGTGCAAATTACATATCCTTATTTTGGGGCAAATTACAAATGTATTTTAAAATGTTGGTGTGTATTACACATGTTGTATATATTTTGGGTCAATTTTCGTGAAAATTGATTACAGCCGATTGTCCATGTGAGAAACAGTCAGAGCGCTCTAACATATTGAAATGTTTTGCCTTGAACATTATTAATTGTAATAGCGAACAAAACTTTAATGGGAAATTTAAGTATCTTAAACTGGAAAGGTAAACCAGAAGAAATCATAGATATACAAGGTATAACATAATTTCTTCCGCTGTACAGTACAGTAAAGTACAATTTACAAAGAATAGTTCGACATTGACTCGACGAAAGTACACATTTTCTTTATTATTATTTTCGGATATCCAATCTATTTTTCCTAGTTAAATTATATATTAAAACCTTCCCCGAGACGTGACCAATTATAAAATTATTATATGAAAAGGAGACAAAAAAATATAAAATTATGAAAAAGAGAAGCCACAGATACCGTGGTTAAAACTTGAGATTGGGATCTTTAATCGTTTGAAAAGTCACTGCCCTAGTGAGTATAAAAATTCGTGGCAGTAATTTTATAGCCTTTTAAAATAGGAAAATGCAAGATTCTGTCTTATATTATAGAAGTTTTAGTAAAGATCTCTAATTTTTTTCTAGTAATAAATATAGCCTTAATTACTCAAGGATAATGTAGCACTTTAGTGGTGAAAGAATTTTTGAAACGGATCCAGTCAATTTGAAATTTTTTACGAACAACCAAGCGCTGTCTGTTCGTTATTTAGTGGTTTTGATTACGTGTATTACTACAGTCCAAATTATGCTTATCACCTATCCTCAACACATGTCAGAATTGGCTATTACCTATATATTTTTCGGCTAGTTAATCGGCGAGTAGACACGATGCCGCTAGTATCGAACTGCCGCTAACTCGATCGCGTAGTTAAAGAAAATAAAATAAAAGGTTTTAATAATTGTAGTTAAAAAAATCAAATCTAGTTTTATTCTTGCCTTCGGGTAAAAATCCCGTAAAACATCAGTTCGAATCACTGTCTATAGACATATTATTTATACGAGTATATAATAGTAAGATTTTCTTGTATAATATTGTGTGTATAGTGTATTTTATATAATCATTATGTTTATTACATAAACGGCACTTCATATAGGCAATTGTAGTACACGTCGTTTAAAATACTCTATTGTGGTTTTGTAAAATTGTGAAAATGTATATTTCAACGAAAATCCCCAATATTAGAGTTATAGTTCAAATTTCTTTTTTTGTTTTTTTTATTCTAATGAGTCAAATCAGATAATTTAGAATTTCACATCATGGTAAAAAATTATAATAGTACAATTTTAAAAAAGAAAAGCATTATCATCATTAAAAAATAATAATATGTTGTTTGCTTTAATTGTCTCTTTTGAGATTTTAAAACACAGATATTTTAGTCAAAGAAATGTTTACATTTAAATATTCATGTTATACATAAAAACAATGATTTAAATTTATATTCGAGTAAGAAAGTTTTAACGGGATTATCATAAATGTACCCATTTATTTTTAAACTAACAAATGTTACGTGAATAACAATTTTTCTATGCAAAATACAGTATCTTAGCATATTTCAAAAGTATCAGTAAGTATACACTTATATAATTTAATTTGCCAAGGGATTTTCTTTGCGAAAAATTTAATTTAAATAATTTTCGATAAAATATTTTCCAGATTAATAAATGCATGAAGTACGTATGAATTGTGCAAAATGTATATTATAAAATCCAGAGAAAAATAATTAATTTATATCTAGTTCTTATAACAAAATTAATATTTTAATATCAACTTAAAAATTTATAATTGCATTTTCGACTCTTAAATGAAATTAAAGAATATTACATATTTAGTACTAATGAATAGAATGCTATTATTTTGATGAAAATATATATGCTTCAACATGTATTAATTTAATTAAAGTGGTCAAAATATAGATCTTTCTGTACATATATTTGTTTTATCCAAATTATTTTAGTTACATTATTTTGATTTAGACGATTATAAATATAATATAATAATAGAATTATTTTTGATAAAATAAAAATAAATTAAAAATATATTTTTTAATATTTCAAAATGTACGTGTAAAAAAAAATAATAAATGAATAAAATAAATATAAACATCTTAAAAAAAAATAAATATTTTTAACTTCTTTTAGTTTGGATATAAGACTTTAAAGTTTTTGATGGAATTACAAATTTAACTATAGCACAGTTTATATAAAAGTACACAACTACAAGTTTAGTCAATATTTATACTTTCAAAACGATAATATTTAGAAAACTGCCCCCCGATCGGATATTTTTATAGCACTTTTCAGAGATAAGTCTTTGTCAACCCAGGCACTTGGCCGTATTAAAATAAAGTATCGCAAAGAAAAGTGCTTACAAAGAAAGATAAATTATGAAAGCTAAGAGGATATCACTGAGGGCTTATAACGATTTAACAAATATGAATTCTTCGACGATAATCGTGATACTCATAAAAAAAATACCTAGAAAATGTAATAATAAAATACTTCGCGTGCCTAAATATTGATACTATATTATTATTATTTGTATTATACTTATCGTTCCAAAATATTACAGGTATTTGATTTTAATTCTAACGAAAAATGTACTGCAGTTTTTTCGATGTTTTCGTCTTCTGTGAACATTAGTAACATTTGGAGAGAGATAGGTAGTGCAACCATAGCAAATATGAAATTAAATAACTGTAAAAATAATTTTTTAAGCAGTATGGGCTCAAAACTACTTAGACAGGTATACACGTGTGATTTTCTTGTTCGGCGCGATCGATCCGAAAGAAGCGGTAGTTTATATTGTTCTGAACGTATTTTGTTTTAGAACACGACGGCTGGTGGACGAGACACAATAAGAGCACTAGGTACAGTTATTACTGCGATTCGGCCATTTCCGAACGCTGTCGTTTCGCTAAAGATCCCAAATACCGATTTTCCGATATACATTGGTGGTCACGGCGTCAAAACAGTAACAACTATCGGTGTAGGGTTTTCAAAGTTTCCTGCGGACAGCCCGCTTGGAGCACATATACGCGCGTTTTATGTAATCAACACAGCACTATCTCACCCTGTGATGACAGTCGCTAACACGACGATGGCAAATGAGTAATCTAATCACATAGTGTGTGTGCGTGTAGCTCACCGTCCAGCCGCCCGTCCGAGAACAGGGAGCGGTATTGGGCTAGGTCCGACCGGGGGCGTGAGGGGTGGTGTGTTGGGTTGGTGGGAGTCCGCGAGAACGAGATCGTCGCAACGTCCCACACATGCGACAGGTGGCGGCCCGGGCGTTTTCTCGTTGAGGGCCGAACCGCAACGGTCGGGGTATGTGTAGGGGGCTCCGGGACGCACACTCGGAAATATCGACCGGGCGACTAACCCACGTCCGATCTACCGTTACCCTTAACCCCCCTTCCGTCACCCACTTTGGCGCACGAGTAAAATTACCCTCTCGACGGGGGCGACACGGACGAGCGGGCGAAGGAGGGTGGATTCCACAGTCTGCCGACGAATAAAACTACGCCGCCGTCGTGTCGTCATCGTCGCCGCCGCCGACGCCGTCAAACCGCCGACAGAACGCAATCGCCTGCACACCGCGGAGCAAGCACGCACGCAGTTGTACCAAAAAAGCACGAGCGCACGCCATGAATTTATTCGCATCGCTTGCACTGTCGGTCGCCGTTGCGGTGGCCGTCACGGACATGGTGGTCAATGGGCTGCCCGCACCCGGCAAAGCGGACGCGGCCAAGATCCAAAAGAACATGGCCAAGAACAAAGGTGAGCCACCATCTACTCCACTACCCACCGCATCCCTCGCCACCGCTTCACCGACTCCTGTGACAGGTCGGGGGAAGGCCGTGTGTAGGGTTTTGCTGGTTTCCCCCTTTTTCATTAATTATCATCGAGTGTTAGGCGATAAGCCTATTATCTTTCCACCGCTAACCAGGTAGTATATACGCAATGTATTCGGTTACTATCTATTTTTATTTAATAGTTATTAAAAGAAATTTGAATTGTTAGATAACAATAATTAATAATCAAAAATAACGAAGACCGTATAAAATAAGGGCCGTAATTATTAATGCATATTCATATTATAATAATTATCACTAATGGTTATGATACATTTTACATGTTATTTATATCCCGGGATTTCAAAAATATTCGTGCTGCGAAATGGACACCTATTCAGTTAAGATGTTAGGCTTGTGTTGTATTTAGATGTTCAGTAAAAAATGAAAATAATTTTGGTTTACATCTCCAACTAAAAACAATTATACTTCTCGAGTATTATGAGATTGGGATAAATCTCGTCCGCGTTTTTTGTTTTTCTTGAGTACTGCGTGTTATATTCAGTGTACGTGCTGTTTAAATATAAAACGAAACTGTTACTGGTGTTAAAACAATATTTTATTATTATATAATTGTTATTATTTTTGAAGCCAAAAAGACTCAGGAGGTGCTCCAGTTCGGGAACCAACAGAACCGACAAGCGGACACCAGGAACTACGCAAGGGCCGAAAAAAGACGTAAGTATTCTTCCCATCCGGATTCCTTCCACTCCCCGTCATGGCGCGTGTCGAACTCTTTACATATCGCGTTTACATCAACACCCCTGCGGTTAATGCCTACTCCAATGCTAAGCGCACGTGACTTCATTGATTTCTCTCACACTCGCTTGTTTTTGTTTTTCAGAGGTACGCCTTGATGATCACGAACATGATCCCGATCCGGTACCAGAAGTGAACAATGCCCTTGATCGTGGCAGTTATCCCCAGTCGGCCAGGCATGAAAAGATTTCTGAACTTTTCCTCAACCCAGGTATATGTTTGATTAAAATACCGCGCAACGATATCGTACAAATATTACATGAATAAAGTCGACTTCCCAATTATACCGCGGTACACCGTGTTCCGTGTACTTCTCCAAATATTGCTGTTGGCTAAACTGTTTGCTTAATAGAATGTATGAATTGGTTGTGTTTATGGATTGTCAATTGGTTGTTTTTGTACCCATTATACCAAGAAGTTGCATTGATATTCAAATTTTTAACATGTCATTAATTATGGTGTTCATTATAATGGTTAAACGATTTTGTGATAACTATTATCGTGTTTAATAATATTTTCGAAATGCCATGGTACTAACGTAACCTTAGGAATATAATATTATACACGGAACACTTTGCATTCGAATTGTACGCAATTGTTTCGCATCGAGTACAATATTCATAATGTTTACACGTGAAAAAATTAATAAAATTATGACAACCCAAACGTCCCCCAAGTACGATCCAACAAGTATCCGTTTCGAGTGTACAGCTACCTACTGCGCGAGTTCTCATACTTCAGTCGTTCGTAATTTCCCTAAGGCACTAATAACCAAGGTAGGGACTTGCGACGAGATTCCAATCAGATATGATTTTAATCGTCGTCGTTTTTCACAACCTTTTCACAACACATTTTTCCTTAAGATCATGCCGTTTTATTTTTTCGCATTTCTCACGTCGTGACGTATTTTAAAACATATCTAACTCTGTTCCCGAAATGATCCGATGAATAGTATACCGAGTACAGTTCATTCGCTAACAATACGTTAATAATAATTAATATTTGGTTAAAGTCGTAGCACAAATGAAAACCGATCAAGTTGAACCATACAAATAAATAATATTTGTACGATTGAAACCGAATTGAATGTGCATGGTTATAAAATGAATTTTCCTTTAAATTGAATTTTTTTGGGTATAATGAACGATAAATTATTATTACGATATGCTGTAACATTAAAGATTCACATAATATATTTATGTATGTGGAAATAATAGCAGTTGTAAAAAGTATGCCAATGTAATAATAGTTTATCGATTCAGTAAGTGAAACAAACGAAAAAAAATTATAAAAATGATACTTCAAAAGCACACTTAAAGAATACAGCAATACATAATATAATACATATTTTAATCCATAAAAAGTATGTAAGTATATGTTTATTTATGATTGATGAAATGTGATATACAAGATCGGTCGAATGTGAGATTTTACAAATGATATTTTCTATAAATACGATGGTGAACAAAAAATAAACGTAAAAAGAAATCATTAAGTTTGTACAACTAAAAAGTTTCATTCTGTATATAAATATATTATGAGTGTTTACTCTTTATATTATAAGAGCCGTCACTATTATAAATTTCTCCCTACCTTTCAAATCGAAAATAAAATACTTAATCTATATGTACACTATTCAATGTTATATTATTAAAAGAAATGGTCATCGTAAAACATTCTATAATTATTTGTACTTATAATAAAGTATTTTCTATGTATCAATTATACAATTTTATAAATAACCGAACATACACATTTCATGCATTGAAAACATCCTACGGATTATTATGTATGTTACGATTTATTACGTTTTACCCAAAAATAGTTATTTTCTTACTCTGGAGTTTTTAATATTAAAAATAAATTAAAAGAAACTAACCAATTATTTCCAACGGTTGATTGTTTAATATAATAATAAATTGTTTCTTAACTACTACTATTATTATATTTTTACTAAATTTATTTCTGTAATTATTATGACATATATTAATTCGATATAAAAATAATATTAATTTGGTTAAATTCAATACAATTGCATGTAAGCTTTATAATAATTGAGAAAAATCTAAAAATTTAATAAAAGTTAAAAATGTTTATAATTTTAATTGTAATAATGTCACGATAGAAATAAATACAACAAATAATAATTTTAGCGAATTTCCAAGTAAAATATTAAAATGAATTTGATATTATAGGTTTTTCGAATACTTTAAATTTAAATGTACTTTGTACTTCAAAGCATTATCAGTAAAAACAACTAGTCTTGCATCAAGTTAATCGATAACTTCATAATTTTTCATTTCTTTGTAAGTATTCGAAAATGAATACGTCATTTCAATATTAATACGTATAAAATATCAAAATATAATTTGTAATACATCTTATTACAATAAACAACTCCCAAAAATCAAGTTTCCAGAAAAAACTTTTTTATAAAAACTAAATGTATATTTATTTGTATTTCATTTGTAAATGAAAAATGTTAGGTCAATTTTTTAACGATCGTTAGTGGTTAAGCATAAAATATGTTATGTTAAGAGAGCGTCGTTTCGTGTAGTTCGAGTGTCAAATGTAAAAACACTATGTGCTCAAATTCAAGCAATTTGAATTGTATTATAAGACCGTATTGCAATAGAAAATAAAGAACTTTATTTCTGATAAGACAAGAGTTTTATTTTTTCGATTGATAATTACATTTTAAATGATAATTACATTTTAAATGATAATTGTTTAACATATTTTGTTGGTTATTAAGTATTTTCATGCAGCCATATAAGATTTTATTAACAACTGTTTAAATTTAAAATATCAATAAAAGTCCTAAAAAAAAAAAAAATTAAAAACTGTATTAAATTACAAAACATTGAATAAAGCGTGGGATAAAAATACTTAATAACATTAATATTTTTCACTGCTTATGATATAAAATTAAGTAATTAAATTATTAACAGTCATTGAGAAACCGTGTTGGTTCAAACAAAACAATTTTTTAGAGAGATATTACAACTATGCGACAATCAATATTATAATAATACCGGTTTCATAATTATTTTTAAAATATAATTTTAAGTAAAATATCAATATTATGCAATTGAGTTGTTATTCTTAATATTTTATTAAAGTTTTTAATAAATATATATGTATATATATATCATATTAATATTGCATTGAATCTTACTTATAAAATAAAGTACACGGCTTTTATTAAAATAAAGTTGAATGAACTTATTCATAGCGTTTATGAAATAATAATGGCATTACACTTAAGTTCACAGCGGTCAACTCTTTGTTGATATTTTCTCGCAGATTTGTACAAGTTCACAATTTAGTAACAGATTAACCAATTTGATCTGTGATGTAATAGTTTTAAAATATAAATCTATTACACTCGGAGGAAAAGAATAAATATACTATGTATTTAGTATGTATAAGTACGATATAATTTAAAAATGTCAGTAATTTAATTTAATTCCTAATACCATGTTATTTTTCTTGTCAACTTTGTAATTTTCAAAATTAATATTGTCATTGAATAAGGTCCATCTTTTCCAGATAATTTAGATTCGTACTGTGGTTTTTGTTCTCTTATACTTGTTATTTTAATCTAAGCATTGATAAAATTTGTAACTATTGTATTGTACTAAATTTTACTTTAATCATTATTATGTTTACAAACGCATTGTTCTCAAATACTTAACGATGGAACATTTTTGTAAACTTTTTTTTCGAATAATAATTTTTTGATGCCTCGAATATTTCTTTTTTCTATTTTTGAGTTAAATATAAATTTTAATGATTATACTTTATTATACATTTTTGGTTATAATTAACGAATTATATATTTAATATTCTTTTATTAATTTAAAATATATTTTCAGTATCTCAACCACGATTTTTAAAGTGTTTAAGAGGCAACTTTAATGAACCTAGAAAATTAATTTATGCAATAAACACATAAAATAATTAGTGATTTTAAAAATGATTGGAAGTAGCTATGTGTTAACAATACTATAAGCTATTTGATAACAATGTAATTATAAAAAACCGTTGTTGTATAAAGGAACGCTATAAAAAATATTTATTACTAAATAAACCATCAAAGTTTAATTAAAATTAAATACAGTGCAATTTTATCTGTGATAAAATGCTTTAATTATTCAATCAATGAATCAAACAGAAAAAAATATTAAAAACTAACAAAAGACTTGAATCGTGCACAATTTATGTACCAAACCAAAAAATTCATAGGAAACACTACAGCGCAAATATATTTTTTCTCTGTCAAACATGGTGATAATATTATCTGTTAATAGTAATACAAAGAATACATTTCGAATGGTAGGGATTCGTATAGTTTTTTTTGCAGTGACAAATTACGTGCGTATCTACGACGTTCCAATTTGAATTCACCGATTAAAGATACCACAATAATTGATTCTTATAACGTATCCCCAGACAGATATTAAAATACAAGTATATCGTGTTGATAACAAAATACATATGTTAGAAATTTTATTATTTTATTGATTACATTTCTACTGATATATAATACTTGTATTTGATCAAATATTTCATCGAGTTAACTACGAGTATATTTACAATTTTAAATCGATCGATCGTCATTAAATATTCTTAAGTCAAAATTGTATATTTTTGCATCTTCGTATATTCATTTTATGTAAAATATGATGGAAATCCTAATATCATATAATATAATTCTATACATACATCTTCTATTTATACATCATAAAACTAAAGTGACTATATTGCGGTTTATATATTATGAATACGGTTTGATTACTTTGATCGATTGGTGAAAAAGTAATAAAGTTTGCCCTCAAAAAATATCTTTTTATACTTAGAGAAAAATGTAATGCTTGAAGTTTTGAATGCACGTAGTGCTAATTTTTCTTTGCATTCAAAAGAATAACAATAAGCAGTAATGGCTATAGAGAATTTTTTTATGGCATCGATTTACTGAATTTTTCAATACTAAATTTATTTTTATATTAATTTTTTTTTTTGTTACATTGAATACATTTGAAATGCTAATCTTTTAAAAATATGTTGATTATTTTCATTAATAATAGAATTAGTATTTTTTTTCTACGTATTTCATATATCTACCTTTATAGATTCATCATAATTTTAATAATTAAAATAAAATCACTTGTCCATTTGAAATAATTAGTAATCAATATTTAAAAGTATTTTATACAGTACTCTGAATATACGACTTGAAATATTTTTTTAAAACTCACTTTAAATAGTATTACAACCAATTATTTATATTTTATTTTGATCTCAAAAAAGGATGATTTTTCTTCGTTTTCTGATCCCGTATAAGTACAATGTTTGCGTATTTTACAAGAAAGTTAATAATCAAAATGAAAATGTATTTATTTTTTCATTCTGAAATAATGAGATATTTTTCTAGAACGTACTCGAAATTATATGGACATCGACTATGTTCATACTTGAATTCAACTTCAATATGGTATTATTTTTCTTCATTATTTGATTCATAAATGTAGTAGGTTTGAGTATTTTACCTCTTCTCTGTATCGTTGATAAAAATATGATATATGCACAAGCGTTTAATTAATTATTTAAGCGTACATCTGTCGATAATAATATTAGTACACACATTTTGAAACAACAGACAGAAATTGTTAGTAATTAAAAAATAGTTGACACTTACATTTTCATAATTTTATTAGTACGTAATTAATTCTAATTAATTCATTAGTTAAATTAGTTTATAATTTAAAAGACATTTAACATATATTTTTCTGAGTAAACTAGGTATAATTGTATAAAATATTTTAAGCTCTTATTAAAAAAGAATTTGGTTTGAAGAAGAGTTCATTAATTACAGACTACTTTAATCTGAACATTTTTAATTATAAGTATTCATGACGTTCATAATTCTTCATTGTATTATTATTATGCGTGTTTCATTATTTTAACGCTTCAGATAATGTGTTACTAATTTTAGTTTTTTTTTAGCTTAAGTGAATCTTCGTACACTTCCAATAAAAATAAAACAGTGAACTTAAGCTATTTGAAAAATATAATAATCAAAAATATTGAGACATTTTCCATTAAAACTCAAAACAGCAAATTAATGTGCAATGTTATCTATGACAGAATTTATATAGATAATTTATTATTTTTACTAACTCATTATTAATAACTCAATATTTTTTTCGTATTGTAATCTTCGAAACATTTAAATGACTTATACTCAGTTTAGAAATTTTAAAACCCATTATTTTTAACTGATAAAATTTGCAATTTTAACTCATTTTAACTCAAATTCACAATACAATTAATCAATCTTTGCATATAGTATAATAAATAAAAATATCATAAACCTTTTTTTTATAATATTTAAAATAAAATCTTGGGTCATATACGTAATTTATAATTTTAAGAATTACTGAAAAAATATATTCATTTTTATATATTTTTAATTAACATATATAGTTTTTGGTTTTTGATCTATAATTTGAATTCAATAGATTGTTATGTGTTCAAATCACAAAATATTAAACATTTCAAATGCAGTATGACTATTATTAACTATTCACATTCGAGTACGAAAGCGCTATTAAAATCGGAAGTTTGAGCTTACTTTAAGTCATCTTACGTCTTACGGTGATTCAACAATTTTATAAAAACAATACCATAAGAGTTGGCTATATCGATTTGCTTTCAAAAACGTTTTTCTTTTTCGTACTTTATTTCGGTATCGATTATAAATTGATTCTAATTCAGTTGTGCTCCATCAAAATTTCATTATTTATGTACTTAAACACACTTGAACATGTCAATATAACTTAAGATATTATAGTTATGGTGATTACTGAAAAATTTTGCAACGTATTATTTTAGATAATTACGGTCTTCAATCTTTGGATGCGGACGATCGCTACAAGAGAAACGCCTATCATTTCGGGTCTCCGGTCAAAAGGAGGTAAGAAAGTCCTTATAATAAGTGCGATTGAATTATGCATTGGACAACGTCATATCTGAATATTTATGAGCCGTCTTGTAGTGTGTAGTGTAGGAATGAGAAAGGATTCTTGAAAATTGCATTAGACCCGATCGCTCTACGACGCATACTTAACTGTGCTAGAGCACTTAATAATTTCGCGATACATTACCCGCGTACATTTTATTGATTGCAATTTTAACAGTTCTTGATGGTACGCAGGGCTGCGAATCGCCTTTGCTCGTATAATGTATTGTATTATGATTTTGTGTAAAAAGTGGTTCTAGAGTGTACCGTCCGTACGTGGACAGCGGACGTGCCAAACGCGACTTGGATATTGATCCCGAAGACTGGCTGGCGTTGATGACTCTCGTGGAAGCAGAGCGTAAACAAAAGGCTCACGAACAATCCAGGCATGTAACCAATCAATTACGATTATAATGCGTATTATGTGTATGTATAATTAGAGAAAGTAGTTCAACCATCAGGTTTTTCAATTTCCCTTCAACTACTTACCATTTAGAACTTATAAACTACACGACTCGCAATAGTTTTTCTCTTAGAATTTTTAAGTATTAACTTCGGCCTGGTTCCGAAACCGAACATTATGATCATATAAATTATTTATTTAAAAGTGTTATAATGGTACTTGTTGCATTGTGACTTCATAAAATATAACGACGTATTGTTTGTTGCTAGAACATCGGTTATTATACAAATTAAATTTTGTGTGACGGTTCAAAATCGTTTTTATCGGTCTCCACAGTTAATCTCGATGATGGATAGACAACAATCAAGAAGTAAATTTTAGGATTCCCTCACATTTTTTTTCAAATGTAGGTTTGAATTTAATTAATGAATTTTCAATTAAAATGTTTCGATTATGTGGATTAAGATTCTTAGATTTCATTACGTTGTAAAAATATTATACCTATTTATACCTATTTATACTATTTATAAAGAAAATATCATCAAGTATCCATAACAAATATTTAGAAATAAAAAAAAAAATTTCAATACGTGGTACGGATTTTATTTTTCGATGTAACCGTGTTACATACTTGATAAACTGTTGCAGTTGTAGGATATGATTTATCAATTAAAATGCATAAGTTTCAAAAATATACCTTTCGTAGATTTGAAATTTAAGTCTTAAAACGAAATGATTAAAACATAATATAATATAATCAACCAATATATTCATAATAAAATCATGGATAGTTGAATCAAATACAAATTATTCTTACAACATTCGAAACAAAAATTAACGTGATACTTGAGGTAACGCATACTGATTTCAAACGAGTATACTTTATGTAATCATAACATAATATTAATATGACAATGCATATAAATATTGTTATTCTATATTTTTAACGAATTGAACCAGACTGCAGTTATATGTTAAACGATTGTAGTTTTCGCACAATGCTATATCGAGTTTTAACTTTTATCGGTCTTATTATTAAAAAGTGTCGAGGTCGAGCTCCAGGCGGGCTAAATACACATTAAACACAATATCATTCTATTATCATAATTCCATTCCATTGCATTGGTTAATAATAAGAGGTTAATGTCAAAGGGACAACCTTGCCTTTACAATTTATATCAATAATATGACATGGTTACATTGAAAAATAATTACATTAAAACTTTATTGTTTGGTTAAAAACATGAGTATATTGTGTGCGATTTTTAAAATTGAATATTAGTATTTCATGGTCATATCCAGAAGTCCTGAAAAACATTGTGAAACAAATAAATTCTCGTTTTTTTGTTTTACCAACAAGTTACAATGATATATAAGCATACGTATAACTCTTAGTCCTTGTATGTACCAGTACACTCATAACGGCCGCATAGAACTACATTGATATTGTATTTGAACAATAAATCGCTCATCCGGAAGAAAAACGACACAAGTCAAAATATGATGTTTTTCAGGAGAGTGGATTAAACATTTTTTTTTTTTACATAAATCATTATATTGAAATAAAAAACGAAAATAAAGTTTCAAATAACTCAAAAATTGATTAGATATAATAATATTATTATATTATCTAATTAATTTGTATAACTTATATATTATTTTGTATACCTACTTATAATATTATAATATTATAATTGAGAAATAAGAACACATGAGCCATTTGTTATTTTATCATTTTAATATTTCTTTATTAAAAATTCAAAAAAATCATATTTTGTGATTGTGCATAATATACTAAACATTTTAAAGTACATAATATAATTTATTCTTTTGATATTAACTTTAAAAAATTGAAACAAGTTATAAAATATTAAAACAAACAGTAACATATTATTTTTCTTATTATGTATAACAAAACCAATATTATAAATAGTCTTCTATATAAAAAATGAGTAATATAAAACTTTCTTTATTAAGTATGAGAAAAACTAAATCATAAACAGTCTTCTAAATTACTACTACTTCTACTACTACTTTTAAATTATAATCATCTATATAAAATAATTATGTAATACGTAGTTCGATTAATGGTTTAAAGAAATAAAAAAAAACAACTGTTCTCGATCAATTTTTATACAAACTTAAAAACATGGTGTATGCCTTGAAATATCGTAACCGTTTTATATGATATATTATAGTCACTGGTCGATATTTTATTTTAACAGATAAAATATACCATAGTACCAAACATATTGTGGCTATATGTTTATATTATTTTTTTTGAGGGGTTTATTTGAAAGTCGTAAAAATATATATAGAGAAAATAACAATCGAGAAATTTCTTAACGGTTAAACCACAGAAAATTATTTTTGGTACATTAGTTTATTTAGTAATAGGTAACATAAAAAAATGTTCTGATTTAAAACAATTATTTTCAAAATATAAAATATTATTCATATAACAATATTATTTCAATGAAAATAATAAATATCTACATCAATACCTATATATTCTACTAATATGTATAACCTGTATGTTTTTATCCTATATTTATTATTGTAATTTTCTTCTTGGCGAATAAAGATTGTTATTATTATTATGTATAAATATTGAATTTTTATTATTAATACCATAAAGAAACAATACGGGAATAATACTACGAATAGATTGTTATATACTGATAAAAATTATTGTCTTATGGAATTGAAAAATGTTGATTATTATCTAGACATGAAAACTAATTTAGACCAATAACTCTATATAAATACTTAAACGAGATTATCTTCTGGAGAAAATTTACGAAATTCCCTTGTTTAAATTAGTATAGAAAAGTTTAAGGTAAATGTATAGATGAACTTAATGAAAAAATAATTACGGGATTTATAGGACTGAGATTAAAATCATCCATACATTTTTCAAAGTAACTAAACCGAAAGTTTTACGTTTTTTACTATTTGCTGTTATTAAATCGTTTGTAATTTTTATTTTCATTATTTATTTTTTGCACTTTCGCGATTTTGACCGGTATTCTTATTGCTACAGCGATATCAACGTGAAAACGGAACATTGCTTGATAAGTTATTGCTATCTTGAACCGGTGTGTTAGAATTTTTCATAGAAAAATTACGGTCAACGCGTTTATATTTTACTGATAAAAAAAAAAAAAACTATACTATACTACTTGTTATTATGTTGTGTAAGTAACGCGCGTGAATTAAATGTTCATTTCCAGAGGTTCTAGACAGCATTACGGACGTTTGAACGAGTACGAAACGGAACCGTACATAGAGAACGAGTTACAAGAGGAAGACGACGAAGACGATGTCCCCGGTGAGTGTTCGATAATTATTCATTGTCACGATTTATGTTACACACGTTAAGCCACCGAACCGGAGACTATGTAGCCCACAGGTCGTGCGCGCAAAAGTTACGTGTACCGCATGTACGGGCGTACGGTTCGCTTTTACTTTCGACCGACCGATACGATTTTTTCCTTAAACGGCATCCCGAGGACGTGCTACGCCGTTTAATAATATTATATTTTATGGTTCATTTATTTTTAATTTATTATTTTTTTCGTCCCTGTCGGATCCGACTGCTTTTCTCGGACCACTTGACAATGGATACTATTAACTAGTTTATGATTAACAACTCTCATCGTAACCCGTACGCGATTTTCGTTAACATTTGAAGTCCGTAAATCATTATACGTGTGTAATCGTCAGTATAATATTACGTCACGCGCTACTCCGAATATGGTAAGTAACATACGGATTGCGGATACTAATATAACGTTACTAGTGGCAAACATCAAGTTAATAAACATTATACGAGTTGCGGATGAAAAATATTAACAAAATGGTTTCAGAAAAAATGTTACCTCAAATTCTATGATGACTAAATATTTATAAATATTTTTAAATATAATGTATTTTTAATTTGCTACAATTTTTGATTGCGTATCTATTAACATTTCTTTTTAAATTAATATTTAATACATTTTTATCAAATGCTACGATTATATATTTATAAAAAAATAATTCAAAAATAATATTTGCTTAAATATTATTTTTAATTTCAGGTTACGTCCGAAATCGTTATAATTTTGTCAAAAAAATGTATCCGCAACTAATATGTTATGTTAGTGTCCTCGATTTATATGTTATCGTTTTAGATTTTGTTCGCAACTCATATGGAACTTAATTAATTAATATTATTACATAAGCGATATTTTGATAACCTACAAACCGTGTTCACAATTGTTATGCTATAATATTAGTCAAAAAATATTTGCTCGCAACTATTACGGAGTCAAAATAATACATTTTTCTCTAAACGGTTGTCTTGATTATAATTAATGGTAAAATATAACTTGATATAATATTTTGAGATTCTTTGGCGTCAATTTACACAATAAAAAAAAATGAAAGGTTATTATTATATTAGACATCATGAATAGAGTACATAAATAAAATACGAATAAAAAGAAACCAAACATTTGTTTGCTTGAATATTAGCATATTCTTCCTAAGGTATTTTAAATCAGTTTTTAACGTACCTATATGTATTTAACTTCGAACATTCTACTTTGTACATTGTAAAGAATAACAAATATTTTCAAAGTATTTTTATTACCACTGTTTTGTGTGTTACAGAAGGATGGTTAGAAGGCCCGGTCGTACCGGCTCCATTGTACGTGTCACCGAAAGATTTCTACATAAACAACGGGTATACACGCAAGCAGAGAGCTCAACATGGATCCAAAGTATGATTAAACATTCTTGTCAATAAAATTATTCTAAAACAATAAATTATAATATTATACATGTGTATCTGCGCAGAACGATTATTTTCAGGGTCTGAACCATTACCAAGAGGAGCCGCAGTATTATAGATTGTCGGACTACTACCGCCATTACAACTTCTAAACATAATAATAATAATAATTAAGCAAGTACAACGATGCTGTTTCACCCAACTAGTATCATTTATACTTTACCATCGCTAATTTATACATTAAAATAATATTATATACTTGACGTTAATACTATATGTGTGTGTTGTATTTCTGAACCTACAACGATTAAGATTTAATATTATATACTACTTTATCAATATTACATTATATTTATTAAAATTTAATGATAATATTAAATATATTAAAATCAAATTTATGATACAATCTTAATTTATTGAAAAAGAAAAAAAAATGTTCAACTGTATGGAATTTTAAAACATTTAAACACCGAAACCATAATATGCTACTTTTGTTTGTTGTAATATTTCAGCGTTTTCAAAACAAGAAAATAAAGATGAATAACGTGCGTGAATGCTTGTTGTTCAATAATTATTATCAAACGATTCAATAAAATATTGAATTAATATCATCTGAATATTCGTGACATAATGCCTCCAAAAGAAGTGAGCACCTTTGTCCGTCGACAAAAGCATGACTGAGTGAGGACAGTGAGTGAAACGGTACATACGGATAAAAAGCTTCAATATTTTTTTTGTATAAAAATAATTATTTTATTTTAAAATATGTTCGAAGTAAATATATGCATGGTGTATTGTTCGGGTATCGTATTATTTGAACTGACACAAACCAATATTAATTTGTTATTCTTTTTAATTGTATAGTGTATATGATAAATATCAAATTTTATATTTTTAGTTTCTTAATCCAATCATTTCCTATACTGTCAAAAACATTGTTTTCCGTAGTTATGCACGATTTCTTGAAAATTGAAAACAACTTATTCATATGGGCTATGTTATAATGTTTGAAATACATAATATTTTCACCTAAACATTTTTTATGAAACTAGCTAAACTTTCTCGCTCTTTAGGGCAAAAATAAAATTATTATCTTTCAGGTTATCACTCCGGAATATGTTTAAAAATTATATTACTTACCATGTAAACAAAAATGAAACTTCTTACTTTTTATATTAGACCGGTAGTTTTACATTTTGAAGTCATTTTGCAAATCGATTACCAGAGGTTTTGTTTTAAATGTTAATGGGTCAATATCAACATAATATTTCTACAAATATTTTTCTCAATTAAATAATGATACAGTGTTAAACAGACTATTTCATCTATCACTAATGGCTGGCTTCAATATACCAGCTCAGAAATATGTGATAAATATGTGTTGCAAAAGTATGAGTCTATTTTTTTTTAGCTATACACATCTGTAATTTATAACTCAGTGACTCGGTAAATATATAAAATTAGTAAAATGTTTTAAATTTAGCGTTCACCATTTATTATGACTTGACAACTGTACCGTACACCATTCTATGTATGATATACACACACATACACGCACACACACATTTGATGTTTGTTTAAGGTCGAATAATTAAATTTATAACATTTTCTTATTCATAATATTATTTTGTTTATTTAAACGTTCAATAGCCAATATTTATAAAAGGTGTTGTACAAATAATTTTCTGATTTTAAAATGTTATTTTCGAAGATCTTTAATATGTACTCGAAATACAAACTTATTGATATTTTTATATCTTACCTGTCTTCAATCTCAAAAATCGATATGTAAAGTTTTTGCTGTAACTGTATATTTTGAAATTTGATTAGGCGTAGATAATAATGATTTAATGTAGTGAGAACGTAAACAAAATACAAGAGTGTTGATATAAAAGTTACTTGAATGTTAGTTAAATAATTAATTGAAATACAGAGGAAAGCGTATCGTGAAATGTGACTACGTCAGAAGACTATATTTCAATTTATAAATACGCTTGGCGCTTCAATCCCAAATCGCCGCCGTTGCAGGTAGTATAGACAATTTGATGGAAAATCAACTCGATTTGTATAAACGTGCAGTATTATTGATGATTCGTTCATCTCGTATTGGATGGAAATAATTATGTTCAAAAGAGGCAAAGAGTTAATTATCTTAGGTAATTTTAAGTACTGTAACAACTATAGATAAGACCTCTCTATATCAGTTTACTAGTGAGCATAACCTTTTAGTTAACAGTAGGGATAGGATGGGGTAAACAGAAGGAATTATTAACTACAATAAAAGCTCGAGAGCTTGAATACATTGGGCACATCATAAGAAATAATCAACGATACAATGTACTACAATCTATATTAAAAGAAAAAATTGGAGGAAAAATAAATGTCCGAAGTAGACGAATATCTTGGCTGAAGAATCTCTGCGATTGGTACAATAAAATATCAATCGACTTATTTCGGGCATCAATCTTTAGGAATAACATTGTCAATATGATATCCAATATCCGAAACAGATAGAAACTCAAAAAAGAAGAAGGGATGGGAATTTCAACTCTATTTGGTATATCGAATCTTTCAACTCAGTTCAGTTTGATGAGTTGAATCAGTGAATCAGTGAATCGACTCTCAACTCTTCCAACTCTTTTGTTTTAATTGAATGTCAATTCTCAGCTCCCGGAATTCGGAGTCTTAGGTTGACTCGCAAGTCCATAGTCCATATTTCATTGTTCACTTGAATCGTTATCGATCTATCACTATTTCATATTATGAAACGAATTACAATTATCCATTTTCATGGATTTTTACTTGGAAATTATGTTTGAAATGTACAATATAATTTATTATATCATAACACACGAGTACCTACTTAATAATTATATAAACATGTATTAGTATATCTGTGGTTATCAACAACACTCGAGAACCGACGAGTTGTCGAGGGTCGAGAGTCGTGTATCAGTTCAGTTAATGAGGTAGTTGAGTGAGTTAGTGAGTAATCAATTACTGATTGGTGAATTGAAATTTATAAGCTGGTTAAACTGAGTCATGAAATCTCCGATTTTTGAAACACTCATTCAACTTCCATAGTTAATTTTAAAGATTCGACTCTTTGAATTAGATTTGAGTTAATTAGCTCATGAACTACACATCTCTGGTTAACACTAGTGTTGGGAAAAATCCGGATTTACCGAAGTTCGAAAATCCGGATTCATGAAATTCGAAATCCGGATTTCGGATTTTGAAGCATTAAATTAATATTTTTTTATGGATTCCTTATATTAAAGCCTTGATAAATACAGATTTTTTTTTTTTTGTAAAAAATTAATATATTTATAGGAAAACTATTAAAGCAAAAATATAACAATAACAATCATCAATATTGCAATAACGTGTAGATATTACAACCTAAACTCAGTTTATACATGAAATTAGTAACAACATTTATAAGTAGCAGAATAATTTATCCAAAAATACACAATAAATAATACCTAAATAGGGTTAGGTTAGGTTACAAATATAATAATTTATATTTGTAACGAACGATGAATGTTTTTTATTTAAAATAGAAAATGTTCGTTTTTTTATATTAGAATTTATAACGACAAATTTTTATTTTCTGCTTTAGAATACAGAAATCTACAATGTGAAACCCAAATATTCGGATTTTACAGCTTAAAATCCGAAATCCGAAATCCGGATTTTTCGGATTTTCGGAGAATCCGGATTTATTTCACACCACTAGTTAACACTCAACAGAAAATTGAACGACACATCTTGAAACAGAAATGTAAAAGAAAAGTTGAAGATAATACTCGTACTTTCACCAGGTTATTAAAAACTATACGAACTGAATTAGTTAAAGATAATCCAACAGAAATAAGATACGGTAATATACAATCTGTGCGTAAAGCGGACGTAAAATGTACTCTGTTTTCCCACATGATTCAACTGAATGTGGTGAAAAATGGTTTTGATTTTTTTAATTAATTTGTTTTTGTTCCAGTAGATAACGAATTTAATGTAATTGGCAAGTATTATTTTTTCTGTTTTTGACCTCAGTGTAGTGTGGATTGTATTAAAATGGGTCGCCCTAGCGTCTGCACAATTCATGCCTATATACTTTCAATAAAAGTCATAACAAATCTTCATACAAAAATGTTGAATGCAAATTAAAAGTAACTAAAATTAAAATAAATAGGTACTTTAAATTATAACAAATTTATATCAAATTAAATTATTGAATGTCTATTGAAATAGATTTTACAATATTATTTATATAGGTTAGTACCTAACTACGTTGCTGCACATAATACCTAATTAATAAATTACATTTTACTTGAGGTTTTACATTTTTTTTTTTTACATCAACTATGTAATAAGATTTAAGGTAAGTAAAGTCTGTTTTTCTAAGTCAATTGCGATTACATAAGCTTATTATTTATGTTATTTTTATAGAATAATATTAAATATACATTAGTACATTTAAATTTAAAAAATAAATTATTCAAGTAAAAATTTGTAAATAACATTTTTTTTTATAATCCCGGACTAAAAAAAGCTATAATATAAGATAATATATAATATACTTATTTTAAGGAGTAAAAACTTCACTTGCCCTATTAAAAAAAAAAATAAAAAAATATCAGTAGTTTGGATTAAATCCGGTTTTAACCGAAACTGGAACCGAAACCGATGTTTATTATTTATAAGAATCGAAACCGAAATTTTTATTTTTTTTCCTGATCAGAACCAAAACTGATAAAATTCTAAAGTTTCCAGTTTCTGACTAACAGATTATTTATTATCGACATATATTGCTCCCGATGCGTTATTTCCAGCCAAAAATGACCCTACCCGTTTCGCCCAAATTTTGTTATTATAAGATTCCGGTTTCGCTGAGACTAGTTTAGATAAATTTATCATTTCCTTTCGTTTTAAGCTATTCACGATCCGTCCGTTTGTGCCGAAGTTGTTCTTTGCTCGTAGACACATAATCGTTACGATCGTTGTGGTTACGTTTGAAACAGAACAGACCGTATCACGGAACGGTTTACATTATTGTTTTCATTATTATTATTATTAAGTGTAACAATAATTGTACGCAAAAGTGCATGAATAGTATTGTTATTTGAATTATTTGTCGATCACGTTAACACGGCCAAATCAAACAATCATTGAACTCGCTGGCCAAAACGGCCGTATAATTATGACAGATGTTTCGATTGCGTGTCTTGAGACAAGTTTTGCCGAAGAATTGCGAGACTTCGCGCACGTGTGTC